AATTATGCATAGTGGTGATTCACTGTGCTTCATGTATAATTTATAAAATGTTGTTTCAATGAGGTAAATATTAGTAATTTCATTTTTCTTCTTACAGCCAGGAGTAAATAGTATGGATGTAGCTGCAGGTATGTATACTATGTATGGGGAACATCATTTGGAGAGGAGCAGCCATATTACAATGAGAAATAAAAGCAGTTTCTTTCTGTGATCAGGAAATTATCAGTTTTAAGCTAGGAATTCTGGACCAGGTTTATCGGATAAATAGGATTTAGCCCCCACATGTTTTTAAATTTTATAATTTTTGCTGACATCTGAAGTTTAGATTTTATATAAAGATTGAATTTATCTTGAAACATTGGATAATCTGAATTTCAGTACTCAAAAACAGTCCTGTCAGTCCTGTTAACATAGTAAGTGTGGTCAGAGAATATTTTGTAGAATGAATTCATTTGTAGAATGAAAGACCTCTGGTGGAGTCTATATTTGTACTCAGCAAATTTGGGAATGGGTTAGCAGCTATACAAATAAAATTTGGACCACTCACTCTCCTCTAGCTTCTGGGCTACTTCACAGTTATTTTTCTGCTTGTCTTTATAGTTATTGGAATTTGGAAGCCCTGGCTTAATTTTCTATCTTTCCTTTTTTTGTCTGTAAGCAGCATCTGGTCATTTTGATATATAAGGCTGTTAACATGACTTAGTAATGCCTCAATTTATTTTACTAATAGGTCATTTTCCACAAAAGTTATTATGCCAGAAACTGACTTTATCCCATGAATATATAAAAATATTTTTTATTTTAAATGTTATTGGTTTCAACATTTAACATACACTGTGTGCTTTACTTCAAGCTTATTATTGGTCATAATTGATTGATCTATCAAAAATGTTGTAGCCCAGCGGTAGAGTGCTCATCTAGTATATGTAAGGCTCTGGGTTTGATCCTTAGCGCCATACAAAAATAAATAAATAAAATAAAGTCATGGTGGCCAACTACAATTGAAGGAAAGTATTTTTTAAAAATGTTCAAAAAATGTCATTTATTTAAACTAAAAATCTTCTAAAATACCTTTAAGGTCCTACTTAGTTATATAGAGATGGGTACCATTACCCTAAGTAATCCTGAGAAATTACATTAAAATTTCTTTCTAATTATTGTTACTATGCTTTGGTTCTGCCATTGATGTCCATAGGTACATCTTTTGATTTTTCCTAGTATATATGTTTGTTTTCTTATTACATATAGTTTTAAGTTAATTGCTGTCTAAAGTTAGAGATTATTGTGTGAGCTTTGCATATACCATGCATTTCAAAATCCATTAACATCTTAAGGTTACTAAACATTTAATTGAATGATAGAAATATTTTGTATTTCATACTGTCAAAAAACGGTAGCCAGAAGTCACATATAACTAATGAATATTTGACATGTGGCTACAATATTTGAGGAGCCAACTTTTTAAATTTTTTAAAATTTAATCTTAATCTGAGTTTTAATTTAAACAGGAATGTGTGATGCGTAACAGGTGCTGTATTGTATAGCACAAGTGTAGAATCAAAGTAGTTGACACAACCAGAAATCTGAAGCCTAGGATTATAGGATGGGGCATTTTTGTACTTTGGTAATATACATAGCAAAGGAATAGGAATAGATACATGCAATAGCAAGAAAAGGAGCAAAAAGTCAAGATCTATACTTCTCATACTGGCCCTGAGTGAGTTTGGAAATTGAAAGTTCAAGTTTTGAAAATGTTTTATACTACCAGAGTAGTTTGTGGGCAAGAGAGTAAGCACATCAGTCATGTGGGACAGATATACCATCTTTAGTGCAAGAATATGGAGGAAAAAATATAATATAAATAGATATTGAAACTTAAACATGATTTTTCACAGTAAATTTTTTTTTGTTTTTTTTAGGCACAGCATCTGGTGCAGTAAGTACTATTTACGCATGTGTTATATAATATTTTATAGGCTACTATATTGATCATTATTCTAAAGATCATCTGCTATATATCAATTCTTAATTTTCTAGGCCAAAGGTTAATAAACTTTTATTTTTTTAAATTTTTATTGTTGGTTGTTCAAAACATTACATAGTTCTTGATATATCATATTTCACACTTTGATTCAAGTGGGTTGTGAACTCCCATTTTTACCCCGTATACAGATTGCAGAATCACATCAGTTACACATTCATTGATTTACATATTGCCATACTAGTGTCTGTTGTATTCTGCTGCCTTTCCTATCCTCTGCTATCCCCCCTCCCCTCCCCTCTTCTCTCTCTACCCCCTCTACTGTCATTCATTTCTCCCCCTTGTATTATTTTTCCCTTTCCCCTCACTTCCTCTTGTATGTAATTTTGTATAACCATGAGGGTCTCCTTCCATTTCCATGCAATTTCCCTTCACTCTCCCTTTCCCTCCCACCTCTCATCCCTGTTTAATGTTAATCTTCTTCTCATGCTCTTCGTCCCTACTCTGTTCTTAGTTACTCTCCTTATAGCAAAGAAGACATTTGGCATTTGTTTTTTAGGGATTGGCTAGCTTCACTTAGCATAATCTGCTCTAATGCCATCCATTTCCCTGCAAATTCTATGATTTTGTCATTTTTTAATGCAGAGTAATACTCCATTGTGTATAAATGCCACATTTTTTTTTATCCATTCGTCTATTGAAGGGCATCTAGGTAGGTTCCACAGTCTTGCTATTGTGAATTGTGCTGCTATGAACATCGATGTAGCAGTGTCCCTGTAGCATGCTCTTTTCAGGTCTTTAGGGAATAGACCGAGAAGGGTAATAGCTGGGTCAAATGGTGGTTCCATTCCCAGCTTTCCAAGAAATCTCCATACTGCTTTCCAAATGGGCTGCACCAATTTGCAGTCCCACCAGCAATGTACAAGTGTACCCTTTTCCCCACATCCTCACCAGCACTTGTTGTTATTTGACTTCATAATGGCTGCCAATCTTACTGGAGTGAGATGCTATCTTAGGGTGGTTTTGATTTGCATTTCTCTGACTGCTAGAGATGGTGAGCATTTTTTCATGTACTTGTTGATTGATTATATGTCCTCCTCTGAGAAGTGTCTGTTCAGCTCCTTGGCCCATTTGTTGATTGGGTTATTTGTTATCTTATTGTCTAATTTTTTGAGTTCTTTGTATACTCTGGATATTAGGGCTCTATCTGAAGTGTGAGGAGTAAAGATTTGTTCCCCGGATGTAGGCTCCCTATTTACCTCTCTTATTGTTTCTTTTGCTGAGAAAAAACTTTTTAGTTTAAGTAAGTCCCATTTGTTGATTCTTGTTGTTAACTCTTGTGCTATGGGTGTCCTATTGAGGAATTTGGAGCCCGACCCCACAGTATGTAGATCGTAGCCAACTTTTTCTTGTATCAGACGCCGTGTCTCTGATTTGATATCAAGCTCCTTGATCCATTTTGAGTTAACTTTTGTGCATGGCGAGAGAAAGGGATTCAGTTTCATTTTGTTGCATATGGATTTCCAGTTTTCCCAGCACCATTTGTTGAAGATGCTATCCTTCCTCCATTTCATGCTTTTAGCCCCTTTATCAAATATAAGATAGTTGTAGTTTTGTGGATTGGTTTCTGTGTCCTCTATTCTGTACCATTGGTCCACCCGCCTGTTTTGGTACCACTACCATGCTGTTTTTGTTACTATTGCTCTGTAGTATAGTTTGAGGTCTGGTATCGCTATACCGCCTGATTCACACTTCCTGCTTAGCATTGTTTTTGCTATTCTGGGTCTTTTATTTTTCCATATGAATTTCATGATTGCTTTGTCTATTTCTACAAGAAATGCCGTTGGGATTTTGATTGGCATTGCATTAAACCTATAGAGAACTTTTGGTAATATCGCCATTTTGATGATGTTTGTTCTGCCTATCCATGAACAGGGTATATATCTCTAATGAACCTAGATGCAAAAATCCTCAATAAAATTCTGGCGAATCGGATACAAAAACATATCAAAAAAATTGTGCACCATGACCAAGTAGGATTCATCCCTGGGATGCAAGGCTGGTTCAATATACGGAAATCAATAAATGTTATTCACCACATCAATAGACTTAAAAACAAGAACCATACGATCATCTCGATAGATGCGGAAAAAGCATTCGACAAAGTACAGCATCCCTTTATGTTCAAAACTCTAGAAAAACTAGGGATAACAGGAACATACCTCAATATTGTAAAAGCAATCT